AAGGTAAGGTAAGGTAAGGTAATGTAATGTAAGGTAAGATAATGTAATGAAATGTTTTATAGGTAACAACAATGCTAAGTAAACAGATGACGTTTCCTAGGTAACAATAATACCGAGTAAACAATTGACGTTTCTAAGGTAACATAATAATGCAGTTACACTTTTTCGTTTCACTTTTTGTCGAATGACACTGACCCTAAAATATAGACGTATTTACGTCAAAAATTCAGTTCACTACCTAGGCTATGGTGGTTTTATTTGTAGCAGATTTTTGCAAAATAAATTGGTAATGTAATGTCTGTCTCCATAAATAAAAAGCTCATAACGTTTTTAAAATATTATGGCAAAGATTTTAACTTATGAAAATACCAGAAAGAAGCCGCTACTAGTGCCTACACATCTGCAAGTCGTTAACTAGAAAATATCTCGTGACAATAAAAGTCGGCAATCTTCGACAAAGTTATTTTAATCTCGGCAAAGAGCAACCTCTAACAATAAGGATTTATGATAGGGTCACTTGGGAATATGGAATTGGTGGTAACTTGTCTTTCGTATTTTGCCAGGAAACGGGTGGAATTGCTTCGGCGTTCTACCTCGCCGTTGCCAGGGATTGAGTTAAAAGACATTTTTCTTTTTTGAAATGTCTCCGCGGGCAACATGTTACCCGCGACCTACAGGTTGGGCGGGCCTGCGTTTTTAAGTCACCACTTTGTGTTAAACTCTTATCTTGACAATAGAAGTGTTCAATACAGAGCAAACTGTAACAATGTTGCTCAGTGTAACTTTTAAATATACTGAAAATGTACCATTTTACATTCTGTGTAATCCAAAGTGGAATGAAAACAGTTAACCGAAATCCGATTACGGCGTTCGCACGCTTTTACTCTAAAAGCTGGATGTGGAAACGCAGACAGGTCACTACGACTTTTGTACGAAACATTAATTACATGTCACTAGTAAAAACACATTGAAGCATTTTCCTTATAGGAAGGTTTCTTACGAATATACAAGTATGTGAAACTTGAATATTTATTTAATGTGTTCATATAGAACAACAAAATTGTGTTTTGAAGATGGCTGCCTATTAAACTGCTGCGCCAGAAGATAGCCATGCTCGCAATGGTGGCCATGAAAACCTCAAATCTCAACAACTTGTGATTTACTAATAACAGCATATACATCTTTACTTCCAGCATATAATAATTCTTTTCATTTATTTATTTTCACAGTACTGATGATGTGAGCATAATGGGCTTATGATGTTAATCTGTCGTGTATCCACATGTTTCAACTCGAGTCGTCTACGGATTTTTATCATATTTAGTACGTGCATTATAGCGTTGAAGGCAATTCCAAACTCGCACTTATTAATGTCCTGCACCCACAAAAACCAAAATGGCAAACCCACGGACTCAAAGGAGCCACCTAATTGGCTACAGGAATCTTCAATTATGTATTATAATAGATTTTCTAAAAAATAGATCTTTTGGCACATTAATTCTTCATTCAGTGTTAAACAGCAAAATCGAGACTGCTTGAAACAACAGAACATTACCGACTTGACAAGGATTACATCGCAGGGCCTAAGTCTAATACGTTGGCCCAGAGCTAAACGCCACAAGACTATTGTTTTATATTACTCGAATTAAACATCAAGAACGCATAATTTAAGTCATAAATAAAATTTGTTCAAGTATAATAGATTTCGTCACTTGGGCAAGCACTTACAGAAACCAGGAAACTATCATGAAATCTCGCTAAGTAAGATACTGTGCTTCATTGCAGGCACAGAGCTACTGAATTATTAATATAACGGGGAAGCACAGAGATCAACAATTGTTCCAGTGCAAGGGTCGCCTGGGGTCCCACCTCATTTACATACATACAAACATCCTAAGCCTCATAAATACAGTCAATATCTTCCCATTATATTTACGTATATCCTAGCTCAGTTAGTATAATTACTCAATACAGACGACAGGGGTTCGATCCCCAACAGGGGCAGAGAATTCATCCTCT